CCATCCACCCACCTATCCCAGTGACCATCCATCCATCCATCCATCTGGGGAGAAAACCTCTGGGTTTTCTGCCATCTGGGGAGAAAACCTCAGCTGGGGTGAAACATCACAGCTCCATCCACCCCAGTGACCGACCATCCATCCATCCACCTATCCCAGTGACCATCCATCCATCCATCCATCCATCCATCCATCCATCCATCCATCCACCCCTCCACCTACCCAACCACTCACCCAACCATTCATCCACCCAACCAGACGCTCACCTACCCATCTGCCCATCCATCCATCCATCTGCCCATCCATCCATCCATCCATCCATCCATCCATCCATCCATCCACCCTTCCTCTCCCTCCCAACACCCCAGCACCCACCTCCCAGGCTGGTAGGTCTCAAACTCCTCCAGGAAGACACTCTGGCTGCCAGGGGGAGCAGGAGCAGGGCTGGTGCTGGCGTTGGGCTGGATGAGGAACTTGAGGACGGTGCCCGTGCTGGAGCCCAGGAAGACCACGGTGTGGTTGCCCCATGGCCCTGCTGCATTGTCCACTACGATCTTGCGGAGCTGGTACCTGCGTGGTGTGAACAGAGCAGAGGTTGGGGGGTGTGGGTGCCTGTGTGTCCCCGGGGAGGAGGAAAATGAGGTGGAGGGGGGCTGGGACCCTCCATGGGGATGGACAGGCTGTGGCTGGTCCAGAGCAGGAGATCCCCAGGGAGCGCGAGGGGCCATGGAGATCCCAAATGGAAACTAGTCCAGATCCTGGCCAGGACCCATCCCAGATCCCACCCATGACCCATTCCAGGTCCTGCCTGGACCCAGCCTGGATCCCACCCAGATCCCCACTGGGACCCAGTTCAGATCCCACCAAGGAACTAGCCCAGATGCCCCCAGTCCCTTGGTAGGATCCCAGATGGTCCCCATCCCCAGCCTTGGGTCCCCATCCTGGCCTCATGGTCCTGTCCCCAACCCTGTGTCCCCATCCCCGTCCCCAAACACTCATCCCCAGCCCCACGTCCCCGTCCCCAGCCCCATGGCCGCCCCAGCTGCCCTGCTGGCGGGAGGCTGCGGCCCGAGAGCGCCGCTTGATTAATTCCCCATCAAGCAGCAATTAAGGCAGATTTAATTAGGATGAGATGATCTTGACTGCGAAGTTTATGAGATTTATCAGGTCTCCTGGCACTCTCCCGGCGCTGGCACGCGCGTGCAAGGGTGATGGAAGAGGCTCCAGCCAGCACCCACCAGCACCCACCAGTCCCCCCAGTTCCTCCCAGTCCTTCCCAGTCCGGATCCTGCCCTGGGGCTCTCACCGGCTCATGGTGCGGAGGATCCAGGGCACGTTGCCCAGGGAGGGCACCGCCTCGTCCATCAGCGGGTGCGTCTTGACGAAGTTGAGGATCTCGTCGGGGAAGGTGCTGGAGGAGTTGTAGCGCATCCCCGGGGACGCGCAGCACCCGGGCCTGCGGCCACGGCACAGCTCAGCGTCCCCACGGCCACGCTGGCCTTGTCCCCAGCCCTGTCCCTAGCCCTGCCTGTCCCCAGACCTGCCACCTCCAGCCCTATCCCCAGCCCAGCTGTCTGCCACTGTTCTTGTCCCCCATCCCTGTCCCCATCCCTGCTGGTGCTGGCCCTGGCTGTCCCCATCCCTGTCCCCATCCTCATCCCCCTCCCCTCTACCCTTCTACCTGCTGGTGTCAGGATGTCCCCCTCCCTGTCCCTTTCTCCATCCCCACCACTGTCCCTGCCAGTACCAGCCCTTGCCAACCCTGTCCCTGTCCCCACCATCATCCCTGTCACCAACCCAACCACCCTCCCTGCATGTACCAGACCTGATCATTCCTGTCCCCGGCCCTGTCCCCATCCCTGACCCTGTGCCCACTCTCATCCCTATCCCTGCGGGTACCAGCCTGGTTGTCCCTGCCCCCCTCCCCATCCCTGTCCCCATCCCTGTCCCTTTCTCCATCCCCACCACTGCTCCTGCCAGTACCAGCCCTTGCCAACCCTGTCCCTGTCCCCACCATCATCCCTGTCACCAACCCTCCCTGCATGTACCAGACCTGATCGGTCCTGTCCCCATCCCTGTCCCTGTCCCCATCCCTGACCCTGTACCAGCCTGGTTGTCCCTGTCCCCCTCCCCATCCCTGTCCCCATCCCCATCCCTTTCTCCATTCCTACCACTGTCCCTGCCAGTACCAGCCCTTGCCAACCCTCTCCCCGTCCCCATCATCATCCCTGTCCCCATCCCAACCACCCTCCCTGCAGGTACCACCCCTGGTCGTTCCTGTTCCCATCCCTCACCCCATCCCTACTTCCATCACTCTCCCCATGGACACCAGACCTCGTTGTCCCTGTCCCCGTCCCTGGCCCCACCTCCCTCCCCGTGTCCCTTCCTGCAGGTCCCAGCCTGGTTGTCCCCATCCCTGTCACCGCCGTGGGTCACTCACCGGGGTTTGGGCACCATGTCCTCGGGCACGGGTGTCCAGATGGACTCGGGGGACTTCTGCTCCCGGAAACGTCCCTCGAAGACAGCAGCCACTTGGGTCATGTCGAAGGCGCAGACGGCCGAGCCGGGGATGCTGAGGGGACATGGGCAGGGGGTGAACACCTCACCCTGTCCCCCACGTCCCCCATGGGCACTGGGGCATCCCAGCCCAGCACTGGAGGTCTTGGTGGGACACAAGAGGTTCTGACCTGTTGGCAGGTGTGGAGAAGACAGCCAACACCACGGGGCGCCCGTCCAGCTCCAAGATGTCTGTCACGGCTTGGATGACGTTGAAGTAGAAATGCGAATCGCCCGGCACGGAGCAGTTGAGCCGGGCCTTGAGGAAGGAGGTCCACTGCTTCTCCAGCACCCGCTGCGAGCCCCCCATGTCGTTCTTGCACACCCGGGCCACCCTGGACACCACCACCTACAGGATGGACACCCATCACTACGTGGTACCCAACGCCGATGACCATCCCCTTGTCCCTGTCCCCACTCTGGGTGTCTTGGGCCACCCCAGGGCTGTCTCCCACCTTCTCCAGGTAGTTGAACTCCATGGCGATCTCCCGAAAGAAGAAGTAGACGTGGCTTTTCCATTCCACGGCGTGCACAAAGTAGGGCTCTGTGGGGACAGTGGTAGGGTCAGGGATGTCCCAGGATGGTGTGAAAGGGGACAGGGACGGGTGCCACGTGGCACACGGTGGGTACCACACCCCGGGGAGGCACCTTTGAACCATTTGGAGTCATGTTTGACGGTGCGGAGGGTCGGGCTGTCCCCCAGGCTGCGGTAGATGACGGCGTCGATGGCCAGGAAATCCGTCACCGTGGCGGTGAAGAGCATCCCCCCTGCGCAGGAGAAGGACGTCAGTTGGGCACGGGGTGGGGGGACAGGGACCCCAAGGGTGGTGCCAGCACTGACCTGTGAAGAGGGCCACGTTGGCGTGCTTGGGGTCGTAGGGACAGCGGGCCATGCCGCTGATGTTGTCCCCGATGGGCTCCAACGTGTCCATCTAGAGTGGGGGAGACGAGGCCATGAGTGATGCCACGTGGGCAGGAGCCCACCCCTCACCCGGATGGTGACACAGGAGGTCCCAGGTGTCCCCATCCTGGTGGCCGGGGGGGTGTGTGGGGGGTGTGACTCACGCTGTAGTTGGCACAGACGGGGTTGAAGGCGTTGGTGCCACAGACGAAAAGGCTGCGGTAGATGACGGCGTCGATGGCCAGGAAATCCGTCACCGTGGCGGTGAAGAGCATCCCCCCTGCGCAGGAGAAGGACGTCAGTTGGGCACGGGGTGGGGGGACAGGGACCCCAAGGGTGGTGCCAGCACTGACCTGTGAAGAGGGCCACGTTGGCGTGCTTGGGGTCGTAGGGACAGCGGGCCATGCCGCTGATGTTGTCCCCGATGGGCTCCAACGTGTCCATCTAGAGTGGGGGAGACGAGGCCATGAGTGATGCCACGTGGGCAGGAGCCCACCCCTCGCCCGGATGGTGACACGGGAGGTCCCAGGTGTCCCCATCCTGGTGACCGGGGGTGTGTGTGGGGTGTGTGACTCACGCTGTAGTTGGCACAGACGGGGTTGAAGGCGTTGGTGCCACAGACGAAGAGCAGGCTCTCGTTCCTCACCAGCAGCACCTTGACGAAATTCCGGCACTCTGCCTGCGGCGGGAGGGGACCGTCACCCCCCCGGCACCCTGTCCCCCCCACCATCCCCCCCATCGCTGGCTCGGGGGGGGTGTTCTCACCCCAAAATGGCATCTAAAGGACCTGGAAATTGAATTTCTGGCAGATGGGGCTGCTCTGATCCCGAAATAATTAATTACAAACCCAATTATCCAAGCGGCCGATAAATAAATCACGGAGACGCAACCGCTGGCAG